CCCTCCCCGTATTCCTCCTCTCCTTCCTCTTCTTCCCCTTCCTCCCCCTCTTCTTCCTCCCCTTCTCCCTCCCCCTCTTCATCCCTCTCTCCCTCCTCTTCCCCTTCTCCCTCCTCTTCTCCTTCTTCCTCCTCCTCTTCTTCCTCTTCTCTGTCTCCCTCCTCTTCTTCCTCTCCTTCCCCCTCTCCTTGCTCCTCCCCTTCCCCTTTCTCCATCCCTTTGTTTCTTTCTTCCTCGTGGCTTTGTTCCCTCTCCTTTCGCTCCTGTTTCTTTTCTTCTTCTAAGTCTTTCTCTCCCTTACCCTGGCTCTCCTGTTCTCTCTCCTCATTTTGCCTCTGTTCCACTCCTGAATTACCCTCCTTCCAGAGTCCCTCATCTCCAGCTTCAGGCACATCTTCCACTTCTCCCCCTAACTTTCCATTGCCTTCACTCACCTCTGCTCTGTCTGTAAGGTCATCTGACAGGATCTCTGCTTCCTCCTTCTCCTTTCCTCCAGGCATCTCCACATTTTTCTCTATCTTTTGTTCCTGTACTCCACTTCTTTCTGAATTCACTGCTTCTTCCTCTTCCTCTGGGACGTCTGACAAGCAGTCACCCCTAACATATTTTGCCTCGGACTTGAATATTTTATGTTCAGTCTCTTCCTCATGTTCTTCTTCAATAAATTTTGAGTTATACCATAAGTTATACCATAAGTTTTGGTCAGTTTCCACCTCATCATCATTTTTTTCTCCACTACTAAAGTCTACTGACTCAGGCGGCTCTAAGCTATCAATTGTACCCTGATGACTTAGATTTTCAACTTCCAAGTCACTGTCTGGCTCCTGAATAGATTTTCTTTCACTGTCAAAGATCCCATCGTCCTTGTTCCTTTCCTTAACAAAATCATAATTTTTTTCAGTATCCTCACTATTCATGTCCTTATTTGGTAAGTCCTCAAAGGGTATATCAATATTTACCATAGTCGCTTCACGTTTTCTTATAGCCTTCAGGCCTGCCTGCTTAGTTTCCTTGTCAGAGACTATTTCTTCTCCTTCTGAATCCTTCTGACTGCATCTTTCATCACTTTCCTTTTCTATTACATTATCATCAAGTGGATAAATATCATGCTCATTTCTACTAAATATCTGGTTTTGCAAGCCCTCCACATCGGTGTTGGCCTCAGGCCCAGGCTGGCTTGAGTCATCACCTACATCCTCATTATCTGAGAACGCCTTCACACACATCGATATTGGTATCATGTATGTTCCTTTAGCCAAATATTGTTTATACACTGTCCCGTGTTTCAATTGTTTGGACATCTCTTCACGTGCATATTCACTGCTATCATCACTTTCAGTCTGAGCTGTATGCTGCTTCAGTTTCTCAACTGTTTCTTGTGTCTGTAAATTTGTTGAAGTAATCATCATACTACTATTAGTTGACAAAGGTAACTTACCTACTATAAAAACTGCCAAGATATTGCATTATCAGTTTCACTAGGCGAACAAACACATCCAGTTTTACTAGACATTTTGCTCCAATTTTCTTTTCTTTGGGGATAATTTATGCCACTCTCTAAGTCTATGGTACACCTACTTTTGATTCAGTAACTAATGTATGTCTGTGTTTAACTTTCATATTCTTACTACCTGCCATAATTTTGCCATTACTCACAGTAGCATCAATATTTCTTCTCTGACCCATTTCTTAATTTGAATCAATTCTTAAATATAATATATTTCCAGACTGATTTTGCAAAATACTGTTTAAAATGTATACTTCTCTTACATGCAGTGTAGTTCAGTTTAATTTTTTTCAACCTGTCCTTTCATTTCAATTGTCAAATTTTGATTGGTCTTTTGATTCCATCAAATTTACAAAATTTAAATAAATGAAAATGTGAAAAATTTAAAAATCAAAATAATCAATAGCTTACTTCTAGAAGAAAATAACTGAACTAAAAACTGCAAATGAAATCTTTATGTACTAAATAATAATGAATATATTTCTCTTTTCAAAACAAAATCTTGGGTTTTCAAATTTTTGACCATCATATCTGTTATATTATTTAATTATAATTATTTGCATACATGAAAAAACCACTATCATGAAAATACTTAAAGTAAAATGTAAGATTTTTTAAAATCTATGAAATTACACATTGACATCTGAATGACACATTAAGAATTTGAAATTAATTTCCTTCTGGACAAAATAAAGCAAAGAACAAATTACTGACCTAAATTCTACAAGCTAATGGATTGAAATATTTGATGAATTTGGGTCTCTGGGCAGTAAAACCTCACTAAACCAAGTTTCAAAAATTGTGATGAGTGCTAGGCCCAGGAAGAGGTAAGTTCTGCTGCTTAAACAAAGTATTTAAGGGCTGGCCGAGTGGTGCATTGGTTAAGAGTTGGCTTGGGACGCCAGCTCTGAGCAGCAGGGTCATGATTCGGATCCCACACTAGGGCCAGTGACACTGCCCTCTACAGCTAAGATGGTGAACAACAGCTCGACCTGGAGCTGGGCTGCCGTGAGTCGCCGACGACGGCGTAGGCTGCAGTGGGGCTGGCTGGCAGCAGGCATGAGCTTTCATGAGCTGCCAAGAGCCACTGTGTGCGGCCCTCCAATGGCCAGCGAGCGACAGCCTCACCTGGGAAGAGCGCAATCATAATGCCAAAGTGGGCCAGTGAAGCGATGTCCTCCACAACTAGACTGAAGAACAAGAGGACAGCAACTTGTCTGTTCCCCTCCCTCAATTCCCCAATAAAAGAAAATCTTTAAAAAAATTATTTATAAAACACAAGTTAAAAATTTCATATATAGAAATACTATAATAAGTCTTTAATTCACCAAAGTAGGCCTGGTAGGGCCTCTACTTAAAAGAAATACGTGAAGTATAAAATATATATGAATTTAAAAGGAAGTGCTTTCCTTTCCTATTTGTTCTAGGTCCTATTCTTTAAAAAGGTCACAATTCTTTCAGGAGCCCTAAGAGAGACAGAAGCCCAGGTGCCAGAAACAATTTCCAAAAGTAAGTCCCTTTATCTCCCTAGCACAATAAAACAGCACAGAAGAGGCAGAGACCAGAGTCTAAGACAAATGGAAGGAAAGATACAGGAAAGCTGTCTGCTTGGAAGTATAGTCAGTCAATAAGTCAGTCGACATTACTGAGCTTCCACAACCGTGTTAGGAGAACAGCTCTCCCATATCAAAAAAAATAAATAAATAAAATACGCTGGGCTGGCCGAGTGGCTCAGTTGGTTAAGAGCTGGCTTGGGACGCCAGAGGGCCCCGGTTCGGATCCCACATATGAGGGCCAGTGACACTGCCCTCTACAGCTAAGATGCTGAACAACAGCTTGACCTGGAGCTGGGCTGTCGTGAGTCGCCGGCAAAGGCGTGGGCTGCAGCCCCTGCTGCACTGGGTTGCCATGGACTACCGTGTGTAGCCAGCAGCCAGCGTGAGCGGCCCTCAAGCCGCTGTGAGCGGCCGTCTAGAAGCCGGTGACTGATCTGCCTCGTCCAAGAAGAGCGCAATGATGGTGCCAACTTGGGCCAGTGAAGCAACGTCCTCCACAACTAGACTGAAGAACAAAACGACAGCAACTTGTCTGTTCCCATCCCCCAATTCCCCAATAAAAATATTTTAAAAAAATGCTGTTATTCACTATGCCTCTCAGTAAAATATAGATAAGATTAATGAGAATTGGCACAACACTTTTTATAATTTGGAAAGATTCTCTTGTATTTCAGTCACTTTGATTTCATAAGGATTTTTAGCTTAGCAATGTGACAAAGGCACTAGAAATATAAATTCAACATTTTCTATAGCCTTCTTCCTTCAATTTACATTTCTCCAATTTAGTCTTCTAATCCCCAAATCTCTCATCCTTTCACCCAACTGGTCCTTAAAGCCAGGAAAAGCAAAGGGTTTTAGGGTAGGCGTTTATCTTTTCAGGGCTGTGAAAACAAGACCATTCCTTCCTCTTGCTATTCATTTGTTATTCATTGAAAGTCTGTTTTTATCACCCATGCACAGTTTGACTAATTTCCAAATGTTTAATATTGTTTTTTTTTTAAAGATTTTTATTGGGGAATTGGGGGGATGGGAACAGTGCTGGGGAATTGGGGGAAGGGGAACAGACAAGTTGCTGTCGTTTTGTTCTTCAGTCTAGTTGTGGAGGACGTTGCTTCACTGGCCCAAGTTGGCACCATCATTGTGCTCTTCCCGGGCAAGGCACATCAGTCGCCGGCTTCTGGACGGCCGCTCACTGCGGCTGCTGGCCGCTCACGCTGGCTGCTGGCTACATACGGTAGCCCATGGCAACCCACTACCAAGGGGCTGCAGCCTACGCCATCGCCGGCAACTCACAGCAGCCCAGCTCCAGGCTGAGCTGTTGTTCAGCATCTTAGCTATGGAGGGCAGTGTCACTGGCCCTCATATGTGGGATCCGAACCGGGGCCCTCTGGCGTCCTAAGCCAGTTCTTAACCATCGCGCCACTCGGCTGGCCCTTTAATATTGTTTTTATGCTATCAATTCCTTGATAAATGAAAGCCTATTCCAAACATTAGAAAAGCAATTGTCAAATATTTTCACCAAAACCACAACATTTTAGAGCTAGAAAAGATGTTAATATCATCCTGTAAGGTGAGCACAGTAACTCACCTAAAGTCATACTCGATTCAAGTCCCAAGAGCCACTCTGATAAACAGTAGCCTCTTGTAATGATTAAGAACTGCAATAGTAATCTTTCGCCTTGGTGGCAAGCAAGTATGGGTATCATGACTTGTTAGTGACTCCAAAGAGCAAATTTCAGCAATGAAATTGTCACTCTTGTTGCATCACAGAAAATATATACCAAGAAGCCAAAATTGAGGCTATCTACATTGCATCCCTCTTTAAAATTCTAAAGTAACTGAATGCTTGCCTTTCTTGTGTTCTTTCCAGAAACCTTTCAAGAAAAAAAAATTAAATGGTTCTTACCCACCATAATAAAAATAACTCTATATTATACCTTTTGTTTTTGAATTGGTGATAATTTTGAAGACTTCTCATTGGAATTTAATCTCATCATGTGTGTCTGAAATAAACAAAAAGGTATATGTTCTAAAAATAATAGACTATACATGATTATATACTTATACATTCTTATATATATAAATAATATAAAACAGTTCAGATAGTTATAATCAACTTTCAATTGCATACTTATGATGTGAGAATTGAAATAAATTTTATTCTATGTAACCTATACCTTAATAAAGTTTATTTTAAAATAAAATGAAACCAAAACGAAGCTTTTTATGCATATAACAGAATAGGAAGTAGACAGATACACATACACACACAAATACATAATAAAATAAAAGTCAAACTTATATCTAGATACATAAATAAGAAAATAATTACCATATTTAAGACATCAGTAGTTTCTCCGAGGCTTTCTGAATCCTCTGTTGAAGAACTACCTGCCTCTTTCCATTCAGTCATTGTATCTTCAAAGTAATCTGACAGATTAAAAGGGAAAAGAGAAAACCAGATTTCAAAAAAAAAAGACAGCTGGACAATAAACAAATTATTCTGTAATATAAAGTGCAGATGTAATTTTACTGAAGGTCCTTTAACCTCATGTTAATGAACTTGAACAAAATTCATTCACAGTAATAACAAGTTTTAAAACATCTTTTTGAAAGTTTGAAGATTTTGATCTGATGAGATAATAAATTCTTTTTTTTTAAAGATTTTTATTGGGGAATTGGGGGACGGGAACAGCGCTGGGGAACAGACAAGTTGCTGTCGTTTTTGTTCTTCAGTCTAGTTGTGGAGGATGTTGTTTCACTGGCCCAATCGGTCGCCGGTCATTGGTCGGCCGCTCACAGTGGCTCCCGGCAGCTCACACCGGCTGCCGGCCACTCACGTAGCTCACGGCAGCCCACTGCAGCCCTGCTGAAGCCTACGCCGTCACCGGTGACTCACAGCAGCCCAGCGCCAGGTCGAGCTGTTGTTCATCACCTTAGCTGTAGAGGGTGAGCATCATTGGCCCTCAATGTGGGATCTGAACCGCAGGCCTGCTGCTCAGACCTGGTGCTCCCAAGCGAGCTCTTAACCAGCTGAGCCACTTGGCTGGCCCAACTATTAATTCTTTTTTTTTTTTTTAAAGATTTTTTTTATTGGGGTATTGGGGGGAAGGGAACAGTGCTGGGGAATTGGGGGAAGGGGAAC